CACCTGTTTGAAATGAGGAATATGAAAAACAGTGCAATTAAAATGTAAGGAGGGTGATGTGGGGTTGCATACTGCTTAGTGTTTCAAAGTGTACCATAAAAGATACAAAATGTGATGTACTGAGAAGTGCTGGTAGGTTCTCAAGCCACAACAAAATCTCACCAAACAGGTATGTAAGAGAAAATTTAATGTATTCTGCAATGTGTTCAAATGAGCAAAACGCGTCAGTGGATTCTCACTCCACAAAGCAACAGCACAAACGCGAGGGCACAAAGTTTTATCGAGTACAACAAAACAACAGAACTATCGATTATTATCAAAGAATTACATTTCCACAAGTCCGTTTCTAAATAAAACCATTAAAGCTTGTGGCCCAAAACAAATATGATCAACAGACTGCACTTGTCTAATGGACCACAGCTTGCACATGCTTGATCCACACTCCCCTTTGCAAGCCACGGAGGACTGACGTCTCATTCGGTCATCCCGTGAATACGGCTGCTCCCTTAGACACCTATACCTATATGAATATCACACAGAGTCAAAAGTCAATAACAACATCTGACGTAAAATGCACTACCAATGTCTCAAATGTTAATGTCTGTAACTGATTTTGAAGGTTAGATACCTGGTACAGTCTCAACTTCCATGTCCTCTTGCGCCTTGACTGAACTTCTGATCTCTCCAAGCTTTCTAATGTACTGAAGAGTGTACTTATTGAAGTCACATCTGTAAGTTTCAGAGACATAACAACTGATCACAGCAGTTTTCTTTAAAAACATGACATGCAGCAATACAAAATATAGTCATACAGTAGGGCCCCGCTTTTCAGCGCTCCGCTTTACGGCGATCCGCTAATACGGCGCTCAACAGCTGAGTCAGAGAAGTGCGTCCGGCGCCATTTTCTCGTCGCTGATTCAGTCTGTTTACAGCTTTAGTGCGCTCTGCGTCTCTGTGTATTTCTGGCAATTTTTCAGTTATTACGAACTGTATATTTATATAATATTTTTGTGTTACTACAGTGTAATTACAATGGCGTCTAAGGGTAGTAGCGATAAAAAGAGGAGTCGTAAGCCTCTTACTTTAAATGCCAAGTTAGATATGATTAAACTTCGTGAACAAGGCATGTCTATGGCCGAGGTAGGACGTAAGCTAGGCCTAGCTCGTCAAACTGTTAATACCATCGTGAACGCTAAGGAGAAAGTGTTAAATGAAATTAAAAGTGCCACACCAATGAACTCTAAAGTCATAAGAAACAACATGGAAAAAATTTTGGTTGCGTGGATTGAAGATCAAACCAGCCACAATGTGTGTATTACTGATATTCATTTTACTTTCATATCGTTTTCTTAGGCCTAGCGCTATTGTACACTTACTATATGATAGTGTAAACATCTTATTAGGCTTTGATATGCATTTGAAAAAAGGCAAAGATCCGCTTTTCGGCGATTTTCGCTTTACGGCGGGGTTCTGGTCCCTACCCTGCCATATAAGCGGTGCCCTACTGTATTTAAGATTCTGAAACATTTATGAATGCTAACACACAGAATTTGAAGAGAAAATACTTTCTCTATCATGAGCTGAAATATTACATGCATGAGGGTATGAAAATAAAAGCTGTGTAATGAGTATAACGTGCGTTTTATGAACAAATCATGAGTGACATACACGGACAGCTGTATGTTATGACTGGATGGTCTACAGTCATAATATACAAATCATCATGAATGAGAAAACAAAACAAAAAGACATTCATTATGGACACGGTACGTGTGCGGTTTGGCAAATATCATCGACTGCTGTGAGAGAGAAAGAGGGGGTGAGGGGATTCCCAAGATTGTGGGGGCGTTCACCTTTCACAAGTCTGCTACTACGGACATGTTTTACACAACAATAAAGACAACTTTCTCTCATGTTTTAATGTGTTTTGACATCGTCCACGGCAGATGCAAGTCCATTCACCACTGAGGAGCATCAGGCAAGTGGGTTCATGAGAAAGGATAAAGTGATTAAGGCATTATCAATTAAGAGCAAACTTTGCCTTGCACTGTCAGTAAAGCAGCTCCAGCCGAGGCTAATATACGCAGCGTGGAGAAAGGAATATTCCTGACCAATTCCATGTCATGCAAAACACAGTGGAAGACAAAAGAAATACACTTGATGTCAGTGTGTGTTTGTGTGAAGCACCCAGAAAATCTGCTAAGAAACTATCAGCTGCATTTCAGAGTCCAAAAACCTCCACTTGATGTTTGATCATGAAAACTGGAACGTATTTATCAAAACATTACATCATCATGACAAGAGTGTGCAGTAACAGGCGCATGCAACTTCATCGCACACATTCTCAAACACCGCATCTTGTCACAACATTTGGTCTGTCGTCTTCTTCGTCCTGTGACGTGTCCGCTTTTCTTGTGGGTCTTCATACAAAGCCCTCACCCAAGGCTTTGTAATGTTTTGAAAGCAGTTTCCTGTTCAATCCACCGCCAGTTTGCTGGACCTGTCGCAGCTTCACCAGATCCTCCATCATTTCAGGGTTCCTCCCCTACTTGACGTTGCTCCCCTGGGGGTGAAGACACGCGCTAGGGTCAGCCCTTGGGTCAGTCTGTTGTCTGGGTGGATATTTTCAAAGTCAGAGGATGGAAGCCAGCAGCATGAGACCTTTTGTTTGAGCTGTAATCTGAAGTATTTCATCTGTGCCTCCGGGAGTGACAAATGCTCTTCGTATAGACTCACAGTTTATGCTGAAATTCATCAGACAACACCATGGACACAAAATAGATCCCTGTCAGTGTGGTAGGGATTTCTAAACATACGGGGCCTTAAAACTAGAAACTGAGAATAAACATAAAAGGTAGGGTGTAGATGGCTGTCTTCTGGGTTGCTGTGCCATCGTCCAGATGATGGAGGCAGCAAGGACCTCTGAAACGTTGGTAAACTTCTACCAGACTACACGGCAATACAACCCAGAAGACAGCCATCTTCAGACTCGTTGCCGTGACAACCTAAAATCCTATAGGGAAGGCGTAGTTGTCGCGTGGAAGTGTCGAGGCTGTTCAGCATGGAAAAGCGGTCCAGCGGGTAAAAGAAATACTGGTGTAAAGAAGAGAACAGATATGAGAATGGAAGGCTGGGTGAAAAAAGGAAAGCACAACATCCCATTTTGCATGCCCAACTGAACCGGTCAAAAACCTTAGGTTTGTACTCACATTTTAGCCAGTTCCTCGTACTTCTTTGTGAGATTCTTCTGCAGAGTGAGCAGGATGGGCATCACCTGCGCTTGCTTTAAGTGAACCTGAAATGTGGGCCCATACGCTGTCAGCATGTGCTGTATCCAAATCAGGTAGAATTCCACATGGCGTGTAGATTCCAGGCTTGATGCCACAAATTTAAGTGTGCGTTCCATGTAAACTTCAGGCAGTGACCTCACAGTCAATTCCACTGTAACAACCAACATTAAGTATGAAATCTACCAACATATTTCCTGCTGGATATTAAATGCCAGTAGAATCCTGTGAGGCAAATGTTTTTGATCGGATAAACAGATAATTCTGTGAAACAGACATAGAAAATCAATGCACATTTTTATTCCTGAAAGTGTGTACTACAATTGAAAGCCAAATCAGAATATTGTAATGATAAAAGAAGGATGCTGAGATCCACCAGCTACAAGCGCACCTCAATACATCACGTTTTGCGGTACACTTCTAAACACCAATACACGGTCCCACATAACTCTGCCTGCATTTTACTTGCATTCTTTTCCATATCTCCAACGTGAAACACTCAGGAGGAATAAACTGGCTTATATTTGCTAAAATTTACCTTGGGTCTAGTAAGTTTTCTCTATGACAGCCAGTCTGCTAACGAGACAACATAAACAAGGTAAAACTCCTGATAATTTGAATCAAGTTTCACACGATAGCCAGGAGGAAATTTCTTGTCCCTCTTTGACATCACATGACGCCAAAGTCCATAGTCTGCCATAGTATGTATCTTTTCGGTCAGCAGCACTGTCATTGTTCGAAAAGAGTAGGAACACTTGAAGAATACATGAAAACACTTTACAGTGTACAGTCCTTGTTGACGTGGGGTGCCACATTTTATTTTACCAGTTGTGTCACCAGTGAACTGATGGACACACCTGATGGGACCGTCAGCTGTCCTCACTTGGACACACCTTCAAATGCAAGTGGGGTGGTATCATCACATCAAAATCCTAATCAATATTTTTCATATGGGGTGTGTTCATGATCACCCTGTTTGCCCAGCCTCTCAGATTGTCTCACTTAGACACCCCTAAGGGCGACTGAAGGATTTGTTCGTCAGGTCAGAATCTTTCAGGTCTGTTTCTTCAGTCTTGTCTTCCCAGCTGTTGTACGACCAAACTGTTCTTGACTCCGCAAATGCACTATCAAGTTATTTTTAGACCGACAGCTTTTTGTATGAATGACTCATAACCTTTTACTGTCAACTCAATGCAGACTTCACACATTCCAGGCTCATTTCAATTCCCAAATAAATTCTTTCACATTGCAAGTCAAATGAAATTTACTTCCTGTGATAGAAAGAAAGCCTTTGATTCAAGTTAAATATATTACTCTGGCATCTAACACCAGATGGAGCAAACTGAGTCACAGCTGAAATAATCTTTCCACAAAGTTTACTCATTCATTTGATGTTTGTCTGCTAAAAACTCGCTGCTGATAAACTGTTCTGTAATCAGAAAACCACCAAAGAGAAAGATTGTATTCGTTTCACTATGAGGCTTGGCAAACGAAGCAAACATGAATATAGCAGTTCTAAGCCAAGTACAATCAACTTCAAGACTTTCTTCCATTGTAAATATGCAGTATGGGATTAAATTCAAATAACAATGGCTAAAAAAAAAGTACAAAATCGAATTAACTGAAAATAAATGTGAAGTACGCATGTACACTGATTATTATTAAATTTCATGTGCATATGTTCACTCTCATCAACAAAGTATCTATTTTTAGTTTTTAGCTATGAAGATGTAATAAATATACTGTATTTTGTAATATGCAGCACCCTGAGACACTTTAAAATTCAAATAAATCTATATATGTGCACACAGACTGCAAGAATTTAAAGGTTAATGTGGAGATATATATCAGTAATTAATCGATCAAATTATTTCTGTGCTATAATAACGGTACTGATATTGATCCAGATGGGGCAGACCACTGCAGGGTCCACTGTGCACCCCTCATCTTGTTTCAACCTTCAAACAGCTTTGACCGCACTGTTAGAACCAAGCCAGAACCAACAGAAAAGTTATCCATTCACACATTCAGTTCAGGCAGATTACCTAACTATACCCACACAGTATCAAGGACAAAGTATTTTCAAACTGGGCATCCTCTTTACTGTTCATAAGACAATAAATTTATCTCATAAATAAAAATTTCATACACTTTCGTTAGCATTACTCAGCAAACAGCAGTAAGACTTTATTCAATGCAGTGTCTGAGGCATATGCAATAAATGAACAAGGTCAAAGAGGCTAACAGAATGTAATAAAAATATATTTGGAAAATACACATACTCCAAGTTGGAGTGCACCTTTATATTTATGTTTGTGAAAGGAAATATATACGACCAATTCCGAAACAGCGAATGCCGGACAAGGAAAGTTCCGATCTTCCGTCCCCTGTCCAAAAGGAGGGAGACGCAGACAGCACTCACCATCAACAGGCCTGATGCTCTCCACGACCTCCTGAATGAGATCATGCTCGTTCAACTTCAGAGACATCATCAGGGCTGTGATCACAGAAAATATTATTATTACAAATGTAATTTAAGTGAGTTTATATGCATAAGCACCCAAAGACCAGCTCTCCTTTAATTTTCACACTTTTCCTTGTTCCCTCCAAGCCAATTCTATATTGGTTCCTTAAAACAGGAAGCAGACACTTCCCTCCACATCCATCGTTCACAATCATCCTCACGTTCGACACATATAACACGCACAGACGATGAAGCATTATATAAAATAACAATCAACACACACACACACAGAGGGCAGACCAGGACTCTCATGCTATCCGCAGAACACGCCAACTCCTCTGTTGTGGGGTAGCCAATTTCAAACCTAGCGGCATCTATCAGAGGCGTGTAACAACAACAATCACCCAGGTCATTTGAAATAGAACTAAGAGAGTTTTGTGTCTGCTGGCGCGGGCGTGAAGTTATAAGCATGCCGAGATTATTTTATGTATCGTTCTGAAACTGTAAAATTCTTTTTTGCTCACTCTGCATTTCAATTACATAACATAATACTCAAAATTAATATTTGGTTCTATGTTCTGCCAAGACCAGCTGAATTTATAACTGGTTATAAATTGTTGTTCTGACACATAAATTCACCATTTCTCTGCTTATTTAAATGCATCATCTCATTTTATCACCGAACAGCAATGATACGTGATAAGTTACGTTATTTTTAGTCACCCGACACTGAAAACTGTACTTTCAAGAGACTGATAATATCCACACACAGAAATATTAATAATACGCGCAGTCTGGAAACCTTCCGATCCCACCTCGTATATACAAGACTTTACTAACACACCATTGCCTTTGTCAGTACATGTCTAGAAATAAATTAGGGTATTCAAACTTTGACACATGGCAATCAAGAATATATAGAAAAATTCACATCTTATGTACAAGATTTACAATGCCTAAACTGAAAAAAAAAAATTGTCCTTTTAAAACATTACTGTCTCGGTATTTATTTGTTTTGCTAAACATATAACTGATCAACTGCTGGAACAGAGAGGGCATTGGACGAGTTGCCAGCGAAGGTAAATAAATGGAACAGAGAAAGTATGATAGAAGTGTAGCCATTTGTGCAAGTAAGGTACAACACTAATAACATCCATCTTATATTATTATTATTTAGTGTTCTGTCTGACGACAGGTCCATATGAACAGGATCCTTCCATCCTTTTCTCGGACTGGGACCTGTTCATATAC